CACACAGCCGGGTCATAGCCAGGTTTTTTATAAGTCACCACTCTTCTTTTCCAGCCTCTCCATGTAGTTTGCCCGGAGCAGTACACTCAGCCCCCACCCACCCAGTCTCACCGCACAGACCTGATGATAGACTGCCAGCCCCCGCCAATGTCCTACCGCAGAGCAGAGGTGCTGACGCTTCCGTACAAGCGGCGCTACGAGAAGATCGAGATCATGCCAGAGGTGAGTAACAAAATCGGGTGAAAAGGTGGTGGCTACTTGCTCATGGAGCCAAATCCAGGCTACTGCTTTAGTAGCCTTGTTGCTAAAGATAACTTGTGGCTGTGATTTACTATTGACTGCGATTGTGTGAAGCACTTCATAGAATCATAGAATCACAGAATGGTTTGGGGTGGAAGGGACCTTAAAGATCATCTAGTTCCAACCCCCCTGCCGTGGGCAGGGACACTTTCCACTAGACCAGGTTGCTCCACGCCACATCCAGCCTGGCCTTGGACACTCCCAGGGATGGGGCATCCACAGCTTCTCTGGGCAACCTGTCCCAGTGCCTCCCCACCCTCTGCGGGAAGAATTCCTTCCTGATATCTAATCTAAACCTCCCTGATTTCAATTTGTACCCGTTACCCCTTGTCCGATCACTACAGGCTCTTGTAAAAAGTCCTCTCCCAGTACTCTTGTAGCCCCTTCAGATGCTGGAAAGCTGCAATGAGATACTGGAAATGGAGGGCTAAGAAAGGAGCATTTCTGAGGGAGAATTTCACTGTGTGAACTAATAGGAATTAAAAAGAACATTGTGGGCAAGCCAAAAATATGTCCTTTGGAAGGATGTATCACATGTCAAATACCAAACAAAAAGCAATCTGCTGGGCACCTCAGTCTCACGCCAGTCATCTCCATCTTACTCTGAAATGGGAGTAAATAGGGGCAATGCAGTTTGCATGAGCAGCCCAGGGCCAGGGAAAGGATCCAGAGAATCTGGGAGTTAGTAGCCAGGCGTGTCTTTCTGCTTCCCCTGCTGTACCTGCCATAAGAAATCATC